CATCATTAGGTATGTTATTTGACTCAATATTCAATAAGCACATGACTTGAAATTTTTATTTCTCCATATTTAATATGACAATTGTTCTTTTTTTTCTGCAAGGTGACATCATGGAGGTCTACGACTCGGATGATGAGATGATCTTAGGGTAGAAGCTATTGTTTTCATCTTAGATGGTACTAATCAGTCAGCTCCATGTTTTGTGGCATGATCTTGGGGTTTTTAGGCTGTATTTGTTGTGTCTTGAGATTGTTTAATGGTTTGGAGATTGTTTAGTGGCATGAAATTTTTGTTGAATGTTGAATGGTGTGAAATGTTGAATGTTGAATGTTGAATGTTGTCTGAACTTTTTTGCCTTCAATTTTCAATTCATAGACCTTTGAAATTCTGGATATGATTATTGTAGTTTGGTTACAATTCCTAACACTATTGTTTTAGTTGGGTTGTGCTATTGAAGATTTTGAATGAAGATTATATGTTTAATAAATTTGTGCTCAATTTTAGTTTTTAATTGATGGTTTTGTATGAAGATTATATGTCTAATAGATTCATGTCGATTATCCGTTTATATCCGTGATCATATCCGATCCGATTCTCAAATATCCGAACCGTATCCGTTTCCGATAAATGCGGATATGGTTAAGGTTTTTTCTTACCGAGGGTGATCCGTATCCGTATCCGTATCCGTATCCGTTTATAAAATGCGGATATGGATATGGTAAACATCATATCCGAACCGTATCCGCTCCGATAACACCCCTACCTCCCACACACAAAAAAAACCCCACCCCACAACAACAAATCAAAAAAAAAAAAAAAGGGGAAAAAAAGGAAAGGAAAAAACTGATCGTGCAACATAGGAACGAGAACTTATATTATCATCTAAAGGTTGTTCTTAGCCTATTATTTGTTCATAAAAACCAAGTAAAAAATTAAACATGTTATAGATGAAATTCCGTTGAACGTTCCTTTTCTAATGATTTGAGGTTTTAAAAAATATCAATCTTTTCTTTGATTACACGCTGCACAGCTTACAAAGTATTCAAGCCAAGTTATAAACAGATGCCATGCCTCTTCATAATTAAAGACCGATAGATCCAAGTGTGGTCTACACGAATCCATGGCATTTGCTGAATCGAACTTTGCTTGGGATTCCTTACATTTGACCTTATCTAAGAAATTCGAAGCTACACGGACCTAACTCTGATGGAGATGACCAAAACCTAATTTATTGTCATATTGTCAAAAGTCACAAATATCCATGCAAAGGGAACATATTTGGCTCATAATCAAACTCCTGAGAGGGATGAGAGTTTTTTCATCATTTTCCTTGTCATGATTTTTTTTTTTAAATTTCTAAAACGTGTAGATCTAACACTATAGTCCTTGTCCAGGTTTTCATATTATTTTAGTTCTGTAAATCTTTCTCTAAGGCATAAGATCTTAACATTAAATTGAGTAAAAATTGACCGGAACATATCAATTCAAAGAGCATTGCAACTGTGAACTGCGGTTACTTTGCCGTGGAAATTTTTTTTATCTTTCGTTGTGGTTGGTCACTCCGCGAGAAAAAAAAAACTTTCAGATAGTTTATCCTACGAATTATTCTAATTAGTTTTGATTCTACTTAACCAACCCACTCCCCTGTTGTGCGCAGCGGAAATTTCGACAGCACCTCTGGTGCACAACAAGAGAGTAGATCTCAACTAAATCCCTATTTCACAAAGGAAACAAGAACCAAAAGTGATATATCTCAATAAAGTGAGATATACATCATTCCTCTCATCAGTTCTAGGACTGACTTGTCGAGGGAACCTAAACAAGTTATTACAAATCACAGCAAGACAACGAATTTTACGTGGTTCGGCAAGTTGCCTACGTCCACGGGGCAAGGAGGGGGGAGATCTACTATTAGAGAGAGAGAATACAAATGGGGTTTACAATCATACAAGGTCTCACAAACTAAACCCTCAAACAACCTCTCAAAACTCTCACAAAAGGACAGCCGCCAAGCCTCTGCCGTTTTACCCCTGTTGCACGCAGCGCAAACAATCTGCTACGTTTTTTTCTTTTCTTTTGCTTGCACGCCACCCAACACCTGCGTTCTCCCCCGCTGCCTCGCACAAAACCCTAGGTACTCAAGTTGGGTATTTATAGCCTAGTGATGCGGTTAAAACAAATGTGAAAACTGGCCTCCTATTTTGTCCACTGGACTCGGAGCCCGCGAAGCACGCATAGGTGTGGGCCGTGTGGCCCCCACGTGAAGCCCGTGTTCACTTCTCTAACATCGTGGCCCCTACACGCTTTGCCTCCCAACAATTCTCCGCCTCGGTGAAGTTTCTCTCAAAACTGAGCCGATACCAACCAAACCAAATATCTCACTTGTTACGTCCAGTACGAAGTGAAACAACAATGTTCACTCGAAATTTTCATGAGCCATATCCAATCAACTCCTAATGTTGTCATATCTCCCTGACTATTACACTTAAGTGAAAGGCACTCCTAAAAAACCCAAGTCAATAATCTATATAAGTATCATGCCACGCATCAAATTGAGAGAGAGGCTATACATTGCCACCTTGTTTCTCATCACTTGCCATGTATCGAGTGGGAAAGATCAAAGCCTAGATGAAGACATGACATGTTCCTACATTTGACCTTAATGAAAACACCATTGCCACCCTCTAATGCGATTTAGCCCGGTAAGAGATAATTAATGATTAATTTAAATCTTATTTATCTTATCAATTGGTTTAACAGGAAACATACCTTTATGTGGTCGGGTGTTTGTATATTTGATGTTTACATAAAATTATGTATTTTTATCTAATCATCTTTTTTTTTAAGAACCAGCTGAAATAAATTTAATTGAGATATAAATTCTCGGATTAGGCATTATTGTTTTTTCCCACTTTTGTTAGCAGAACTTTTAACAAGGGGGAAAAGGACCAAAATTTCGTTGTATAAGAGAGATACATGCTACATTGCTCTTAAATGCCCTATATAGTATACCCGACCTTGCATTTAAGTGACCTGAAGTTTTAAACCTTGCCAAAAAAAAGCCTCAAAGTTTTGGGACCCTGCAATTAAATACCCTACATTTTTAAAATTGCACTTAAGTGCCCTCCATTAGGATATTATGGGAATGTTCCCATGTGAGCTGTCACATGGTTATATGCTACAGTTTTATAACCCTATAATTCATACTAATTACAATTAAACTACCTCGCCTTGTAGACGTAGTTCCCCTTTCATTCTAAATCTTACCAAAATTAAACCACCCTACAATTAAACCACCCTATCTTATATTACCCCTTTCCCATGAACTGAGATAACTTGGTAAGATTTATGTCTAATTATAGCAATTTAGCCCTTTAAGAATAAAAATTTCTTCTAGCCACGTTAAAGAAAACAATTTCTTCCAATAAATTAGATATTTAAAACTTTAAACTTGAGTTCAAGAAAATAAACTTATTTCCCATGATAATGGTTTCGTGTTTTTGAATCCCATGACCAGTCTCTTGATTTCATGATTTAAAATCTGCCTAACAAGAATCTTAAGAACAATACTAATTCACGATCGTAAAGTTTTGAGTTAAAAGAACTTCTTTCATACCATGTTGCATAAAGATATGTGCTTGTTTAAGAGCTTGTTAATATATCATGCTCTTGTGCTTTGAAAGCCTCTAACATCTCTTCATCCACTGAACTCGCTAGACAGTTGCCAACTAAATTAAGGTAACATTGTCAGTCAATAAAACTATAACTCACATGTTGGCTATAGATGTTATGATTAATGCATCTACATGGAGTTTGAAGAAAATCTTTAAGTGTGATTTTAAAACTTTGGGATATTCAATTGCGGGGTACTTAAGTACAATTTCATACTTTGGGAATATTCCTAGTATGTTCTAATGACTAGCTATTGTAGGGTACTTAAGTGCAATTTTAAAACTTTAGGATATTTAATTGCAAGGGCCTCTAAACTTTGGGATATATATATATATATATTATATATATATATATATATATATATATATTATTATATATATATATATATTATATATATATATATAGAGAGAGAGAGAGAGAGAGAGAGAAATGAGTATACTTGGTACCGAAGGATCCGTGGTAAGTGATGTGGACACATCTTGTCCATACAGTCACACCTTGAAGATGGAGCCTCACCACTTCAAGGTGTGATGTATGGACAAGATGTGTCGCACATCACTACCAAGGATCATTGGCCGAAGTATACCCATATTCCCTCATATAATATATATATATATATATATATTATATATATATATATATATATTATATGATTATTAAAATTTTTACATGCTCATTTTGCCCCTTACAACTTACTTAATTATAATTTTATCCTATAATAATAATCCGACTCTCTCCCCTTCTCTCCCCTTCTTCCGTTTCTCAACCATCATTTACTTTTCTCATCTGCCACCG